GCTCGGCGGCACAGCCGCCGCTCAAGCGGCTTGCCCGTTACAGTAGCTGTTGGAAAGGGTTGATTGAATAGTAGTAAAAGAGACATTATGAATTATTAGTTAATTAATAATATATTAAGTGAGTTCCTTCCCTAGTTAAATAGGTATTATGAATTATTAGCTATTTAATAATATATTAAGTGAGTTCCTTCCCCCTATCCTCCTCCTACCTCTATTACTATTACTAGATTGTCCTTAATTAAAGTGAGTCCTTAATTAATTCTAGCTAAAAAGAGGCCTACATTAAACGGGGTGTTATTGTAGGCTCAACAATACCTTTTAGTAAACTCAATAACCTAACTAGTTAGACTATGCCCAGTCTCTGTCAACTAACAAGACGCCTTGATCGCCTCATCGCACACCTTGGTCACCTCGAGTAAATACTCCTCGCTTAGTCGCCGTCCGACAAGCTGCACACTAACAGGGCAATCTGCCGCACTCTCCGGCGAATCTACTCTCTTAATAGAAATAGACTGGTTTTCGGTTTCAAAGTAAAAACTTACAATCCTGCCAGATCCTTGCCTCAACCAGACCCCGCGCTTTATATTTATTCTAGCTTCGCATCCTTCTCTGGCGAGACTCGGGTAACCGTAATCGTCGTTGCGCAGTAGTCCAGTACGTTCCACATACTGGTATAATTGTCGTATGAGAAATGGTGCCTATCGTACTGTAAGCATGATGTCCCTCAATCACCCTCGCACAACATTGGGTGACTTGCCTCTTCGATGCTGGCCACGGTGTGGTGGGCGTCAGCAGCGCGTCCATGGCGCGTCCTGTGCCTGTCCTCGGCTCCCATTACCCTCACCTCGTGTGAACTGTACTCCCTCGCAGCTAGCTTGGGAACCAACGTCGTCGCGTCGCTCTCTGTAATCTCCATCTCGCGTGAAGAGAGTATGCCAGACTCGACTGGAACTCTTGTCACGTTGAGCTGGCTTTTAGGAACCAGTCCAGGTTGCAGGCGCCATTCCACAGGGATGGCCGCTTCTCATTGCGCTCTCTTCTCGAGCTCAATCTTGGCCCATTCGAGCCCTGAGGCGTCTTTCGCATCGCTGCTCGACATTCCGAGGTAGTCTTCTGTGGTTGGGAAGCTCATGAGTGTGTGTAGACCAAGGGTCAAAACTGTCAAGGCTACGGAATCACTTCTACGTTTTTCTAAAAAAAAAGAAAAAAGTCAGTAGCTGATTGGTGACTTGATAGCGGGATCAAGCCGGGTTTGTTGACGGCTTCGCCGACGCCCGTCGTCGGCTTCTCCCGATGCTGTCATCTGCGGGTGGACCAGGAATTAACTACTAAACAACTACTCCAAAATGTAATCTAGGGTAACGCAGGGTTTTGTGAGCCAAGATGCGGGGATTTTATTGTTTCGGTGTGTGAGAGACCAAAGAGTTTGCCTGATATAAAGACCACCAACACGCATCTTGGCTTGGCGGACACATACACCTGTCTGTCTGTCTGTCTGTCTGTCTGTCTACACTTTCAAGGATGGCGACTGAAAAAGCTTCGAGTACGGCCGATGCCCATTCCTCTGACATGGTCATACCAGATACTTTCAAAGTCTCCTCCAAAGGTGGCATCTTGCACGAGACGTCGCCAGGCGCACCTACTAGTGACCAACTTACATATTTCGAGCTGAAAACGGCCTTGATCAACGAGTTCGCCCGCCCACCCTCCCTGGACATCGCGAGATCTCGCATTAACTAACCTTTTCTTTCAATTAGTGAACTCGACAAGCTCGGATTCGGAAGATACCCGAAGTGCATATGGTTGCTGTGCGGATTTGGGTACTTTCTTGACTTGACATGGGCTCAAGGTATTATCCTCACGGCCACAGCTATATTGTGAGTCCCACCGCTGCCACTTATACACCGTCGGTCACCATGTCGCCTTGTATACGTTCTACTAACATGCTTTCTTCAGCCAAGAAATGAATGTTCCTGCTGAGAGGCAAGGGCTCAATGTTCACCTGCGGCAATGCTGGACTGGCGTAGGCGAGGCGACTATTTTTCTTCATTTCTGCTGTACCAATACTGACGAATAGGGCTCAGCCTCGGCGCATTCATCTCTGGCATCCTCAGCGACACGTTCGGCCGCAAATGGGTTTTCAGCATCACCTGTATGATTACATGCGTGTTTGGCATGCTTCTTGTACGTTGGAACTTGTCCCGCTTGAAGCCTCGGAAACAGAAAAGACGTGCTAATTTTCAGCACAGGCTGCCGTCAAGTTCAATTATGGTGCCATCTGCGGCATCTACTTCCTTGCCTGCATCGGTCTCGGCGGCAACATCCCCATCAACGCCACCATTGCCTTGGAGTTCATGCCTCCGAGCAAAAGACATCTCGTCTCTTTACTAAGCATATTTCAGCCGATTGGTGTCGTCATTGCTTCAGTTATTGCCTACGGTACCGCCGCCAAGTTTCGGTGCGACGCAACCTTGCCAGCCTGCACCGCCGTTGGTGTCGGCGAGGCTTGTTGCTCAGTCTCGAGCAACATGGGCTGAAGATACTTGGTCATTGTTATCGTGTCAGCCACCCTTTTGATATTCTTTGCGCGCTACTTGTCGTTCAGCTTCCATGAGTCACCCAAGTTTCTCGTGGCCATGGCCATGTACACACAGGTCAAGAATACGGCGGGGTTCGTCGGCCTCAATGCCTTTGAGTACATCATGCAGATCTACTTCAATTCCGTATTGTACGCTTCGGCCCCGGAGCTTTTCGAGACGACGTACCGTGCCAGTGCTACCGGCATGCTTTCGTCCCTCGGCCGCATCGCTTATATGCCCCCTCAAGATCGGCCGGAAGGCTGGTTACATCAATTGCAGACATTGGACCAGCTTGGTCTAAGACAAAGAATTCTAACGGATATGTGGCAGACAAGTGGGTGAGATCCTCCATTATCGGATGCAGGCATTGCAACTTGTCTAGGCTTGCTATCTTGTAGGCGGACAGGGAACTGTGGAACGGGTAAACATTTGGCCTGATTCGCAAAGAGAACACTTTGAGACACCTGAATATGGCTTTATTCACATTCGATCAAGATCTGTTATATATTTGTGATACCTAAGCCTTCGCTAATCTCCCACCTAGTGTGTCCTGCAAAGCCCACAGACTGCTAATATCAACCTTGGGCAATTCGTGCTCACCATTTCCTGGTGAAGGCAAAAACCCAATCGCAACTAAGTACGCAAGGTATACGCCAATGGTGCGTGCACTTACTGTAGGCGGTGTATTATTGCTCAAGCTGCCCTCCTCGTATAGCTTAAGGGCTGCTAAAGCTTGTCGATCGTCCAGCTCCGGAGCAAGTGTGTTAGCAGGAAGGTCCCCAGTTACGAAGTGGAACAAGGGGAGTAAAGCGTGCTCCTCCTGGGCCTCATCTTCGACGTAGCTGACAACTTTAGCGCACCAGTCTGGATAAGGTACGCGTGGCATATGGAATCCGTAGGTTTCTGGAGTGCCAATCCATTCATTGAGTGTTAGTCGCGGATGGCTTGTGACTTGAGCCACGCTGAGAGCCTGTCCGGTTGCAGCGGGAAGCTGCAATGCTGCAGCGACAACAATGCGGCTGACCCGCGAAACAGGCACCGCGTTAACAGTATTGCTGATGTCTGGACGTGCCCCAACCTGTAGGCAACCCTTCCACAGCCGTACAAGAAAGTCGTCAGTGACGCAGATGCCTGATGCTGGGTCCCCAGTGATGTATCCAGACCGAACGATAGCCCCTGTGAGCCCTCTGCTCCCAGCATTGCGAATTATATACTCGCTGGCCCACTTAGACTGTCCATAGCCTGTTCCAAGGCCTTTGCAGCTACCTTCCAGGTTGTCTGTCTCTAACACTCCAGCCTTAACATCTCGCGATAGTTGGACGTAGTAGTCAGTGTCCAGAGTCGATGTAGAGCTGATAAAACAGAGTCGCTTTGGCTTCCCCGCTGCACATAGCCGAATGCAATCCAGCGTACTAACCACGTTAGGCGCCCTGAGCCTTGAGTATGGTAGCATCCAATTAACTTGGGCACCATTGTGCACAACAAGGTCAACGGTCTTAGAGAGGCGCTGCCATGTATCCTCGAGCAAGCCAAGAGAAGACCTGGACAAATCTCCTACCACTGCCTCGATCCTAGACAACCAGTCTGGGGACCAAAGACCGTAGGCCATCATTGTGGACTTTACCCTTGAGAAGCCTGCTGCTGCGTCGTCCGCGCGCACGTGGACAATAACATGCGCCTTTGCTGGGCCTTCAAGAAGCTCACGTAGGATGTAAGCCCCAAGAAAACCGGTGGCACCGGTTAGGAGTACGGTAGGTCGCGACTTGGTATAGTCCCACGTCAATGGCGCCTGCGGGATGGTGTCCGGGAGCTGGGACAGTAGCTCCTTTGCATCCGCTGCGTATGCTTCATCCTTAGCTTCTCCGTCTTCAGGTATAGGCACAGCGTCTAACCGTAGGCCAATGGGGTCCAGAGCTCTGTCGATCTCTGTAGCGAGGGCTTGAAGAGTCTGGGAACGAAAGATGATAGTGACTGGCAGATGAATGCCCTTCCATTCACTCTTGATAAGAAAAAACATCTGCTGCGCGAGGATAGAATGGCCACCCTCGTCAAAGAAGTTTGAAGACGGGACAAACATTCGGGCAGAGCGATTAGGGAGAACCGAAGCCCACACTGCAGCCAGTCTTTTCTGGGTGTCAGTCATATTGCTAATAACTGATGAGGCTCTCCTTTTAGCAACCGACAGAAGATCAGCTGGGTCAGGGAAAGGGAGCGCTGGTTTGTCGATCTTCCCGTTCGGATTGAGCGGCATCCGGGCCAGAGGGATGAAAATGCGTGGAACAGCGTAGCTCGGAACCTTGGCGGCTAAGAAGTTTTTGCAGTCGTCAGAGAGAAGCTTGAACCGCCTGAGCATACCTGCCATTGTCTCAAACTCAATCTCTTGCTCAACAAGATCTGGCTGATCTTGCGACTGGAGATGCTCAAACCACCGCTTCGTCTCAGGGACAAAATATGTGACAAGAGTCTGCTCTTCATTCTTGTCTCTCCGCACAATCGTGATGTTATCGCGTATGTATGGGTGCTGGGACAGGGTGACGTCAATCTCGCTAAGCTCTATCCGGAAGCCGCGAATTTTAACTTGCGTATCGATCCGCCCTATACACTCAACATTCCCATCCTCACGCATCCGACCCAAGTCACCAGTTCGATACAGGCGGTCTCGTGCGCCCTTATAACCCGGAGTGACGGAAGACTCTCGAACCCACTGGGCTGGATCAACAAACCAGTTCGTCACGAATTTAGACCGATTCAGTTCCAGAGTCTTCTCATCATCCCCACGGTAATTTTCCGCAAGGCCCGCGGCACGAATGAACAGTTCACCAGGCTCACCAACATCGCAGAGCCTATTCCTGTCCTGGAGGTCGACTACCAGCAGCTGGACGTTCAGCATGCCCTGGCCAACGGGGATGATATCCGGCAACGAGTCCAGGAAGTTCGGGTCCTCAGCTTTGCTGAGTATCTCAAAGAAGGAGACAGCACGTTGTGATTCAGTGGATCCAAAGAGATTTATCACCCTCGTATTGGGTGCAAGATCGAGCAACTTTCGACAGTCCCTCTTAGTCAGAATATCGCCCACAAAGAATGCCCTTCTAAGTGATGGGAACTGAGTAGTGGCGCCACCAACGCAGATCTGGCCCACGGCAGGTGTAAGGTGAGTAACCGTGGGCTTGTGCTCATACATCCACTCAGCTAGAAGTCCGTAGGTGATAACTTCGGCTGGTGGCACAAGGAGAGTTGCGCCTAGGAAGAGCGGAGTGAAGATATCCCTTTGAATGGGGTCGTGTGCTATACCACTCTTCGCCGATATTAGTCAAATAGAAGGAATAAACGCTTGCTCCGAACTTACAAGCATCGTGAATCTGTCATTCTCTGAAAGGCCGAACCTCTCCGCCATCCATGGCGTGTAGTACGTCAGCGAGTAATGTCGCCCTTGCACTCCTTTCGGGATTCCTTCGGTACCAGAAGTATATGAAAGCGTAGGAATAGAGTCAGGGCCAACAATAACACCAGGATGGTGTTCTTTGAGAGGTGCCTGAGCTGCGAGGCAGTCTTCACCTTCGAAAGAGCCTCCTGTTATATGGCCGCTATCTGAAAGATGTAACGACGGAATCGTGGCCTTGACGTGCAGGCTGGTGGCAATGAATTCACTGACAATGTCGGGAAGTTGACCAAACTCTTCAATGGCTCTTTGGATGTAGATGAGAAAATTGGGTCGCGAAACGCCCAATAGAACCTTCTGGCGCTCTGCAGGATATTGAGGATCGAGGACGCTGACGGTTGCGCCGGCCTTGAGGGCACCCATATAGGCAACGACGAGGTCGACTCCTCGGTAGGCATAAATGACGACAACATCGCCTACATTGCAGCCATGAGCGATGAGGTGATGTGCTATTTGGTTGGAGGCCTGGTTGATCTGGCGGTATGTGAAAGTGCGCTCGGGACTTCGTGAACTTCTAGTCTCAATGACACATTGTCTATCGGGCACTCGCTTTGCATTGTCTGCAAATATGTCATGGATTGCTATAACTGGAAGTGAGAAAGTCGTTCGATGACGCCAGTTTTGCTTTGGCATAGCGGTATTGCGTACCTCCACGGAACTCGCCCCAATGCAAGTCACAAGTGGGATCGGGAACCAAGGGATTAGGCCGCATATCAAAGGGGGTCGACCGGCTCTAGAATTTCGATTGGATTTGAGTGGAAAGATGAAGAATACAAAGTCGGCGAGGGGTAGTGGGGTCGTTCGCCCTTAAGTATGACGGTGGGCTGTAGGAGAAAATTTGGAGTCACCTCCGATAGCGGTGCAGGCTACGAGTAGTACCTGGCTCATCAAGTGCCTAGCCCTCGTCAAGCCCGCGCGTACCTACAACCTTACTAATTATCGTAATACAGGGCGAATACCGATGATACTTATCAATTGATCGTCTTCAGCCGTAGGCCCTTTTACGAGTATGGCAACGAAGAGGTTCTCAGCCAGCAGCCCGGCATTGGCTTGAACAGTCACGTGATACCTTCTAGTGTAAACGGGGCTTGGATAAGCCTAAACCAGGTGCGCGGAACCGAGGACATGGATTGTTTCTGTTGCGAGGAAGTAATATTTGTTGATGTTCCAGGCTCCTGGTTAGCCTTAGACGAGAGCTAGGATATAGGCGCTACTCGGTGTCACCCCTACATAGATCACAGAGCTGCTCGAGATACTAATAGTCTCTCGTGTAGGTACTTCTAACCTATGTACTACGGTCCGGGCTTATGGCGAAATCTGCCTGCGCCTCGCCCCTGGCACGTCCAACCAGATCCTGAACTCCGGCGAAGGTTGCATAAAGTTGAGGGGATACAGTGCAATTTTAAAATCGCGTAGGTAAAAGGTACTAGGTTGGCGTGCAGCGCGCCTGAGGGAAAGACGAGGTTAAGGTGATTTAAGGTGATTTAAGGTGATGCTCACTGAGCAAGGGTGATCAAAGCCTGAGCAAGAGCGGCGGTGCTGACTAACTACCTGGGTTTCGTGGTTAGACTACCTACAGTGGGTTGATAAAAGTTCCGCGCGTTACCCCGTTTTATACTAAAAGGCCCCATTTTTAATACATTAGAACTTTCTCACTTTAATACTAAGAATTCTACAATAAATTTAATAAAAGAAATAATAATAGGCTCACTTTATATATTATTTCTCTTTTATATCTTAGTATTTCTATCTTAAGTTATAAAGGGGTAAAGTTAAAAAAAAAAAAAAGTACTTCTCTTTTACTAGTAAAGTAGTTCATTGCAAATTCGCTGTCACCCTCTACCGCCTTCTCGTTCTGGTAATCTGCCCCACTTTCAGCACCTCCCAGATGTGGCGGTCCGTCTTTAGTGGCTGGCTGGCTGGCCGTTTGGCTGCAACTGCTGGCCAGCTGGGCTTGCCACCGAGTCAAGTAATACTGTCCAGTCCTGTCTCGTCCTGTCACTGACCCCGAGTTGAATAAAGTCCAGACTAGACCGCCAAACTAGGCCGCACAAGACAAGACCAGGGCATTTTCCACCTGTTCCCGCAGATGGCCTGACCCCTTCGTTTAACAGCGAGCGGACCTTGGCAGGATTTTTTTTTCAAGCTCTTCTGACCCGGTACAGCTCATCTGTCGTGATGACCCGTATACTTTCTGATCCTATTTCGTCGCTTGATATTAACGTTAATGTGTTGAGAGGGACATGAAAAGGGAAAAGATTTCTGCAAACGGCCGTTGTGCCCGCTTGCCAAGACCCACCACCCGGCCAATCTTGCGTTCCGTTTCCCGCTACTCTCTGCTGCTGATGGTTCTCGCTTGGCACCCGTAAAATACCAACAACTCCAAAATATCACAAAGACATGGGGTGCATTTCTAATTACAGCTCAAATCCGACAAATTTCTGCTCTTGTGCTTTAGCTGCGTGTTCACGGGCCGCTCCCAATCTCCCAACTCTGCCGTAGCCTTCTCCGCCGCAGCCATGGACAGCCACCCGGTACATGTAGGCTCCATAGGTACCAATAAGCGCCCTTTTCGTCGTTGGTGTGCTGGCGCAATGGGAGCGCGTAGTCCTCCTAAGACTAAGGTTGAGGGTTCGAGTCCCTCGTACATCGGAATCGTCGTTTGACCGCGATTTTTTTGGCTATCATTGCAACGCGTCAACTCCCCCTCTACCAATTATTTTTGCACCCTTGTCTATTAAATCTATGCATTTGTAGTACTTATTTTCATGTCCATACCATCCCATCCATAGCCTATGTGTTTCTGGCAACACGCCTGCAATCTCGGCGACGCAGCCAGTGCAGATTTGTTCTCGTTGTCGGGTGAAAGCACATAAATCGGTGATGAAAAATGATCACATGGAAAGCGTGCTTCCATATTCTTTACTACGCTAATTCACAATTAAATCGATGTTCCCATTCACTCATATTCTACCGTTGCGCCGTTTGCCAGTCCGTGTTTGTCGCTTGTTGTTGCTGCTCTGTTTGCAAAATCTGTGCCTGCTTGGACTATTTATCCAGTCTTAACCATACATCTTTGCATTAATAAACAGAAAATTCAAAGGCTTTTAGAGAAAGAGGTTCAGGCATGTATCATCTCTTCGGCGATTTGTACTTGGACGATCCACGTCCTGGCTCGCCCTTATCTCGACGACTACAGCTCTTACAGCCATACATTGATGAGCTCAAGTTTCGAAAAAAATGCTCTATGGCAAGAATGGGATCACCTTGCTGCATTTCGAAAAGTCGCGCATCATGAAGTGGCGGCCTGGGAGGCTCATGGTCAGAAACGGTAAGATATAAGACTAATATCATGACGCCTGTGCCGGAGCTCTTCCCAGGAAACAGTTTACAAATAGCATTGATGCAGGGCAACTAAAATCATCAAGCATTTGGACAACAATATGGTCACCACCGACCAGGGTGAGGAATCAATCCACGAAATCCACTGGTTGACCAATATATTGACCTCAACACGCGTCAACGTCAACCCACGACTTGAATTGTTACATAATCAACCAATCCACGGTGCTGCGCATTTTGATGGACGATATGGATGGATTGACCAGTCGTCCAGCATCGCGAGAAACGGAAGCTCTGCTGCAGGGTAAGAGGCCAACCTAAGTCGCTCGCTGGGGCCGACGTAACACTAGTTGTCGGCACTATCCACCCACTACAGTACGGCGGGCGCGCCTTGTCGCGTCCTGCGACGCGTCGCCATTTTAGGCCACCTGCAACACGAGGCGACTGGCAGCTGAAACATGGCCGAGCCAGTAACTACCAACATCGAACCTAAAACACCAGCTAGCGATGATACCCCGCACGATGCTTTACTGCTCCCGAGGCTTGCCCTTCTAGACGCGGGAAAAATTCCTTTGACATCCTGGACGCCATCCTCAGATGAGGAGCAGCGCATATTCCGCGTCTGGAAGGGCTTCACACTAGCCGAACGAACCAAGGATACGGTGTCTTGGATATGGGACTACGGCGTTGAGATTCAATCAGAAGCGTCCAGGCGATGGATCTGCATGCCGTGCGTGCGCCAAAAAGCATCATCACCACAGTCATACGAATCAAGAGGCACACAGAATGCCGAGCACCACCTCTGGAAGTCTCACGGCTACTGGGATCCGTCAGGACGACGACGAACGCCACTGCAGACGAAAGAGGGAAGGAAAGCCTTCGCATCGATCACAGACCTCATGGGCCTCAAACGTTTGGAGCCTAACGACCAGGCCCTGGCGAACAACCTAATCCGACGATTCGATCAAGCCGAGTTCCAGAAGCTGGTGGTGAACTGGATAGTAGAGAGCCAGCAGTCATTCAGGCAGGTCGAACATCCACGTCTGCGACAAATATTCGAATACCTGAATCCTGCGGTGCGTATCAAGGATGCGCATGTTACTGCTAAGACTATCCAGAGCTTGGCTATTCAGCAGTTCGAGCGCCATCGCGATGCCGTTCAGCATGCATTGAGGAGGTCTCCGGGCCAGATACATATCGCTTTCGATGGCGCGAGGACCAGAAACCGTCACGCATTATACGGCGTGACGGCTGTCTTCCGAGATGAGGACAACCAACTCCGAAAGCTTGTCCTGGGCATTCCGGAGCTGGTGGAACGACACTCCGGCGAGAATATCGCTGCTGAGATCCTTGACATTATTCGCTCCTTCGGCATCGAGGACAAAGTGGGTTACTTCACCCTCGACAATGCAGCGAACAACGACACGGCGATGCGCGAGATCGCGCAAGAGTTGCACTTCGATCCGGTGCGACGGCGCGTTCGATGCGTTGGCCACATTCTCAATCTCGTCGTCAAGTCCCTTCTGTTTGGAAAAGATGTCGAGGCGTTTGAGGACACCGTCGCGAAGGGCGAAGCACTGGCAAGGGCAGCGCACGACACGTGGATGCGGAGAGGCCCCGTCGGCAAAGCTCACAACTTTGCCATTTGGGTCCATCGGTCGGATGTTCTGACGCAGTTGCTTCGCCAAATCCAACAAGACTCGTATGCGGCAGCTGACGACGCCGAAGTTGGGAAGCAACGGCCAGTCGACGTGGTTATTGACAACGATACCAGATGGCTATCCCAATACTACATGATCAAGCGGCTGTTGCGACTGCAGCCTTTCTATGAAGAGTTCATTGCTAAAGCAAAGAGAATCTTCCGAGATGGCCGGAGAGGAGAGGTAGGCCGGAGGTTTCCTCCTTGTCTTGAGGAGTCAAGCTTCCTCACCGAGAACGATTGGGCGGTGCTCAGGACTTTTGACGAGATCCTCTCGGACTTCCACGTGGTTGTACAAGCGCTCCAGGGCGATGGGCAGCCGCGTTGTCGCGCCTCCGGCATACGAGAGACCTTCGGTTCGATGACTGACGTGCTAGAGGCATTTGAGTTCCTTCTGAGCAAGCTGGAAGACGCAAAGTCGCAGATCGAGACGCATCCCGAGCCGGAGCATTTTGGCATTAACGTCAATCTTGGCTGGATGAAGCTGGACAAGTACTATAATACCTTGAGAGACACGCCGGTCTACTACGCTGCCGCTGCTTTGCATCCTGGGCTGCGATGGACTTATTTTGACGAGATTTGGGGCCGGCACCACCCGGAATGGGTTGAAGAAGCGAAGCAGATTGTGCAGCAGCTCTGGAGCAATGAATATAGTAACCTGCAAATCACAGTCGCATCCACTGCCGATGGGCCAGCGCTAAAAAAGCAGAAGACTGTGCTGTCCTCATTTGATAGGTACCGTAATAGACACCGGCAAAGCAATGCACCCACTGCCGGAGCAGATGAATACGCACGCTGGCAAGCTAGCATGTCGGAGCTGGACAGAGATGTGGCTGACCCGGTGGAGTATTGGCACCTGAAGAGATTCGAGTATCCTAAGCTGTCTCGAATGGCACTTGATGTGATGACAGTGCCGGCCATGAGCGCAGAGTGCGAGAGGCTGTTCTCGGCAGCAGGGCTAATGGTTACTCCGCTGCGGAACAGGATGGATGCAGGAACAATTGGACTTATCCAAACCTTACGCTCGTGGCTACGCGCGGGAATAATCAAGGATGTTGACAATATACTGCTGGACAGGGCTGTATCAATGGGGCTTGGGGAGGATTGCTCAACGGAGGAGTTTCGAGGATGAGGCGGGGTAAGGGGGTTTCACGATAGCTTCAAAATTACTCAATTAGGAAATCGATGTGGAGACGACATGGGTCCTCAATATTGTGGCCATCAACCCACGAGAAGGCTTCGTGGACTCAACCCACGACAGCGCTGCTGAGTAAGCTGTCAATTCCATCCACGACAAGCACTCGTGGACGTGGGTGGATTGATTCCTCACCCTGCCACCGACGACCATCATCTATAATAAGCGGGTTGTAGACCTCAGGCTACCTAGCCACCACAGCTAGGTAGTACTATAGTAGGTAGCTAAAAGCAAAGTAAAAAGCTAATTCTATCAGCTGGTCGATGGGTGGTGTCTTACAATCATTTTCGGAAGACAGCTCGATGTCCTTTTTGTCACGGTCTGTTGCACAGTTTGCGGCATACTGCTGATCCAGTGTCTGCAGGGTCAGATTTCAGCCCGATCTCCATCCAGTGGAAGCTTCAGTGGGTTTGAACCGGGCTTACTGCTAAAGAAGGCAGATTCTCCATCGGCAAGCTATGTAGCGACACAATGGCAGCTGTGCGTCAAATCCCAGTATATATACATACATACATACATACATACACTAATGTTAGCACCAACCGTTGGTAGCGCCCGCTCCAGCGGTCTCAACTTCCCCTCGACATCTCCGCATTAAATAATTGTACCTGATGAATTCCAGCATGACCGACTCGCTCTGTGTACATTCGAGTGAGAGGCTGCTAGGCCCAAGAATCAGTCCATCCTGTCGTGCTTTTGATTTTACGCTACTCTTCGAAGACATTTTTCTCGCATCTCTCCCAGTGGCTGTATTTATTGCGCTGCTCCCTTTCCCCATCACCGTTCTCCTTCGATCACCAGCACTATGCTCCGTGCAAACCACCTTGCTGCTAGCAAAATTAGTATACAAACCCAAGCATTTTGAACAAAACGCACGTCCATATCTTTGACATTTTCTACAGGCAGCACTGGCTGGTGTCACGGTAGCCCGGATCGCCTTCTTGTGCCTCCGATTGCAAACGACCACTCTCCAAACGCAGGCCTCTCTTGCCTCTGACATACTCTCAATCATCGGCAGCATCGCCGCAATCCTGCTCTCCTTTCTCCACCACCAGCGCTCTCTTCGACCGTCGACACTACTGAGCCTATTTCTCTCTGCGCAGACCATCCTCGACATCCCCAGAGCCCGAACACTATGGCTGTTTCAAGGCAACACCGCCGAGGCGGCTGTCATGACCATGGCGCTAATCACCACCTCTACGGCTCTCTTGCTAGAGTCACTCAGCAAGAAGTCGATCATTCTAGATAAAGACATTGATAATGCACCAGAACAGCACAGCGGCCTCTGGGCCCGCACTGCTTTTGTATGGCTGACGACTACGTTTTACATGGGATATTCTAGCATCCTAGACCACGATGATTTGCCATTTCTCGATACTAAACTGCACAGCCAGTCTTTGCGTGACAAGCTTGCAACTACTTGGACCAACTGTAAGCAAGAAAAAACCTTGACCCTTGGAAATTCGCCGTTGACTCAACAATGTCACAAGATAATCACAAGGCTCCGCACAGCCTGCTCAAAGCATCTCTCCGAACAAACATTCTTTCCTTCTCGTTCGCCGTCCCGCCACGTATCTGCAAATCTGCATTCTATTTTGCGCAGCCTTTTCTTATTGATGCCACTATTACATACGTGCAAGCCATCTCGCCTAACAGGAGCTTTGGCCAAGGATTGATTGGAGCATGGGCTCTGGTTTTCCTTGGGATCGCAGTACATGAGCACCTACAGCAACTCTAACAATAGTGCCTGTTCTAACAATGCTATTTAGTGCTCGAACTCGCTCACCTCCTACCAAACCCTTCGGTTCGTAACGAGAATAAAGGGAGGGCTGACTGCACTCGTCTATCAGCACACAATTATCACACGAGCCGTAGATCTCGGACCTACAACAGCCATCGCGCTAATGGGAACGGATATTGAGCGCATTGGCTTCAACTTGCTACAGATTCACGAGATCTGGGCGTCCATTGTCGAAATTGCTGTAGCCATCTGGCTGCTGGAGCGTCAAGTTTCCATTGCCTGCCTGGCGCCCGTAGTTGTTATCTTAGGTATGTGCCATCAACCGCCTGCTGCCTACTCTCTCCTTTCTCTCTCTCTCTCTCTGTCTCTCTCTTCGTACAGCGACCGTTACTAAGTCAGCTCACAGCCGCCATTGCCATTAACACTCCTATCTCCAAAGCTGCCAAAAAAGCGCAAGTAGGATGGATTGAGAGGGTGCAGGAGCGTCTTCGCATCACCTCCAGCATGCTTGACGACGTGCAAGCAGTTAAAATGCTTGGTCTTAGCATAGTCATGTCCGACATCATTCAAAGGCTTCGCAGAGTTGAGATAGAAACATCCAAAGTCTTTCGAAAGCTACTTGTCTCAAACGTCCTCTTGTGTAAGACTTGTGCAAGCCTCTTCTCACTGGCCCAACTAACTCTACCTAGCCGAGTGCCCACAGAACATATCACCGCTGGCTACATTTGCGACGACCGTCATTATTACTCTCTATAGAGAAAATGGCTCGCTTCTCACTGCCCAGGCATTCACCTCGATAGCTTTGATCAATCTCCTTACCGTTCCAGTAATCCAGCTTGTGCAACTGATGCCACAGTTACAGCAGTGCATCGGGAGTTTTGAGCGAATCCAGGAATACTGTAACTATGCGCCTGACGACAACAAAAAGGATGATTCAAGTCATTATACCACCAAGACTGCACCATCGATCAGTCTTGATCTTCCGGTCGCTCCACGAGAACAAGAAAACGGTCAACATAAGCGAAATGCAATCACGCTACAGAATAGCAGCTTCTCGTGGGACAAAGCCAAGCCACCGTTCCTCAAGTCAATAAACATGAAGGTCCTGAATGGGAGCATCCTGTGCTGCACTGGGCCGGTAGGTAGTGGCAAGACGATGCTACTAGAGAGCATGCTCGGCGAAAAATTTCAAGTCCATGGGTCAACATCGCATTCCGCGTCTCCCATTGCTTATTGCCCACAGCAAACGTGGCTTGAGAATGGCACAATTCGAAGCAACATTACTGGAATTCTCGATTATGAACAAGAATGGTACCGGAAAGTCACCTCTGCATGTGGGCTGGACACCGATTTTAAGGCCTTGGAACATGGCGATCTCACTGTCATTGGCAGCAAAGGCCTCAATCTCAGCGGTGGGCAGAAGCAAAGAATTGTATGACTCGAATCGAATGGAAGAGTTTGCAGACTGACCCTTGACAATAGGCTCTTGCTCGAGCAGCATTCTCTCGCATGAAAATATATTTCCTTGATGACGTCTTCAGCGGTATGGATGCTCGCACGGTAGACCACATCTCGCAAAGACTTCTAGGGAGTGACGGCTTGCTGAGCAAAGGCTCAACAGTCATTTTGACAACACACAACCGTAAGCAATTCAAGAGACTAATAATTCTAGAAGTTCCCAATATCATGCTGACATGCAGCAGACAAGCTTCTGAGTTTTGCGGATACGGTCATTGCCCTTGAGGACGGTCGAATCGTAGAGAGTGGGACTCCGCAAAGGCTCTTGGCTTGCAACGGGGTTGTTGCAAACCTTCGAAACAGCATTCAAGATGATTGTTGCGATCTCGGAGATGGGAATTCGGAAGATGCAACGGTCCAGCAAGTGGGGAGTTTGGTAGCGGAATCGCTGCCCTCCACACCAGAGTATGGAACAGGACACGATAATGTCCTGGATACAAGGCGCAAGCAAGGTGACTGGTCAGTGTATAGCTACTACCTTTCCAGCTCTGGCTACTCTATCGTGTCAATTTTCCTCGCCAGCATGGCCTTCTGGGTATTCTGTACCGAATTTTCAAGTTCGTTTAAACTGTTGTGGTCGTCTTCTAGGCCCAGGCTAACTAACATGTGGCAGCTGTCTGGCTCAAATGGTGGTCGGGGGCCAATGAGATGGAGGCCAACAAGGATGTAGGCACTTTTATGGGCGTATATGCGTTTCTCAGTCTCTTCGGTGTTGTCGCAATTGGCATTTCTTGCTGGTAAGATAATATTCAGCAAGTTAATTTGCATCGCTGATCATTGTTGCAATAGGTTCGGTATCATCAACATCATATCCAATTCTGCCATCAGCCTCCACTCGGATCTACTGGCTAGCACAATAAGGTGTGTGACTAATTTAGGAAGCCCAATGTCCTCGCTAATAACCACGGCGCAGAAAACCCTTGTGGTTCTTTACGAAAGTCGACACAGGAACGTTGACAAACAGATTCAGGTATGCTCTGGTAAGCTTGTTGTGGAAAGAGCAATCATTTTAACAGGCATCCCGCAAACAGCCAAGACATGGAGCTTATCGACATGAACCTGCCTCTCGTCATGATAAATTATATTGCGAGTCCGTCAAAGCCTACATTGCCTCAACTCTGGTCCGAAAGCTAATGAGATATAAAGCTGCACTGTCCGTCGCCGCCAAAGGCATCATTCTCCTAGTGTTTTCGCGCTACTTGGCAGCCATGACACCCTTTGTCATTGTGCTTTTATATCTACTACAATCGTTTTACTTGAAAACTTCGCGACAGGTTCGTCTCCTTGAGATTGAAGCCAAAGCACCGCTGTATACGCACTTTATTGAGTCTGTTTCTGGAGCTTCCACTATTCGAGCCTTTGGCTGGCAATCTGAGTACAGGGCGCGCAATAGCAAGCTTATTGATCGAGCCCAAAGAGCCGCATATCTGCAAACCTGCATCCAAACATGGCTGGGATTTGCGCTAGATGTGCTGATCGCCGTCATAGCAACGGTGTTAGTGGCTGTTGTCGCGACATGGAAAGACAAGTTCAGCGGCGGGAATGTTGGTGTTGCGCTTGTCATGAACATGACATTCTCATCCACCCTTATGAGAATGATGAAGACTTGGACAACAATGGAATCTAGTGTTGGCGCTGTTGCCCGCGTTAAGAACTTTATAACGGAGAGGGAATCGGAAGACAATACCGCGGGCACGGTTGAGGTGGCGCAAGACTGGCCAATGACAGGTAGGATCGAGTTCAAAGATCTTGTGGCTGCACACTCCCCGACGACAGAGCCCGTTTTAAAAGGGCTTACCCTCACGATCAAGCCTTCCGAGCATATTGCCGTCTGCGGTCGATCAGGCTGTGGAAAGACTGTGAGTGTATACCGCATTACTACACGCAAAAAAGCGCAGGATATGGCCTAATGCCAGCAGTCCACTATACTCGCTCTACTTCGCCTGATTGACACGCGACAAGGAAAGATCATGATAGACGACGTTGACATTTCTCATATTCGAAGCGACGAAGTCCGTACCCGTCTCAACGTTGTACCTCAAGATCCGCTCCTCATTCCTGGTACAATCCGCTTCAACATTGATCCATTAGGCAAATCTTCAGACAACCATGTTATCAGAGCACTAGAGCGCGTGCAGCTTTGGAGTATCATTTCGGAGCTTCCCGGGAAGCTGTCAGCGCAGATGAATGCCGATGTGTGGTCAGCTGGGCAGAAACAACTTCTGTGTCTTGCACGGGCAATGGTTAGGAGAAGTAGTGTGCTGATACTCGACGAGGCCACGAGCAGGTATGTACATGCCAAAGACGGAGCATGATGATAAGACCTGACACGCGACCAGTGTTGACAGCAAAATGGAGGCACTTATGCAGGACATTATAGACGACGTCTTCAAATCCTGCACCGTCGTTGCTGTCATGCATCGCTTGAGCTACATTACTCGGTACGACAAGGTTGCTGTTCTAGATGAGGGGCAGTTGATGGAATACAATGCTCCCGAGGTTCTGCTAGCTCAAGACTCGAGACTCGCTCAACTATACCGGCTGAACATGTGACAACTCTTGACCCTGGAGCCAACAACAAATTTGATGGCATATGAGGACTTCATTTTCAAACTTCAGAGCAATATTTTCGCGCAACTACGATTATTCTCTGCACTCTAGCCGTGGTTCAGGTCCCATAGGCTGGTTACTGTGACATCCCGTACCCAGGCGCCGTTCGTGTTGTCCTGTTGCAGTGTGAAGCCAATTTCTTTCTTCTGTCCTGGCAACAGCACAAACGCATTATCTTCAAAGAATCCTACCATGTCAGCAGGGTGTGTGAGCCAAGTATATAGCGACACACTCTTGGTAGCCTCGACGGTGAACTTGCGCGAAGCCTCGTCATAGGTGAGGCGCAAGCCGGGTTCTGCAATCTTTGCTCGTTTTGGGGGAGTCGGAAGAAAGGAAACCTCATGCGTAAATGTCTTGATCACATCGGAATTTGGCAGTCGACCGTGAGCTTCAACCGACAACAGCAGCAGCGCATTGTCCATGTCTGGAACGCCAAAGTCTCGCAGGGCTGCATGGTACACTTTGATGCTGTCAATGGCGTCAACCGTGAAGTTGACCACTTGGGGGAAGCCCATATTGTCCTTGAGCCGGTTACCTTGCAAGTCGACCCAAGTCATGGACAGCTGTCCAGAGACGGCCTCCCACAAATCCGAGGTGATCCAGACTTGGAGATTCTTGGAGACACTATTCCAGGACGTCGACGCGACCACATTCTGATAGCCGCGACGGATGTAGTACGGGAGAACCTTCCAGCGACCGCCATATTCTAAAGCCGCCCAACTCGGCGCCTGCCAAACGTCGTTGAGCTGCCAAAACAGCGTTCCGCGCTGGCGCTCCTTGCCTCCGCTTCCGCGACGGTAGAACTGGATCTGGCTCTGGTAGAAGTCGGCCTGGAAGAGCTGCGTCGCATGGCACCATGCGCCGAAGTGGTCAACAGGATCGGTCTTGTTGGGCAAGGGATAGTACATCTCCACGGCGGCCGTCATCTCGGCCATGCCCTTAAGGCTTTTGGAGACGTCGGCGACGAGACCACCGGGCGGGTAGTGGTGGTTCCTGGAGACTATGACGGAGGAGTTGAAGTGCAGGTCCTCATCGGCGATGGCGGTCCGCCAGGTCTGCAGGCTGGGCATGCTGTGGAAGCCAAACTCGGCGGCAAAGCGGCCGACGGGATACGAGGCCTCGTCAAAGGCGGAGGCGGCCGAGTAGTCATAGTGCTCCGTGTCGCCATAGATGTGGCCCACAGTCTTGTTTTCGTACACCTGGACCATGGGCACGGGGAGGCTCATGTCAATCTTGGACCAGCCGTTGTTGCCGCTGGAGGGCGTGTAGGAGATGGATCGGGTGTTGGCGGCGACGACGCGGAAGAGGGTATCGATGTAGAGGTGCTCGTACTGGCCGAGGTAGAGCCCAAGGTTGTGCTTGTCGGTGACGCCAGCGATAGGGAGCACGACGTTTTCAATCTCGTTACCGCCGGCCCAACAGGCCAGTGACGGATGGTGGTTCACGCGACGGACATTTTCGGTCGCTTCCTGGCGCACATTGTCGATGAAGTCGTCGTCGTCCGGATACAGCGCGTCCCCAAACTGGAACTCGCTCCACAGAAGAATGCCGCGCTCGTCGGCCATGTCGTAGATGAAGTCCGGGAGGTAGGACCCGGAGGACCAGACGCGGAGCATGTTGAAGTTCTGGTGCTGCACCGCGTCGAACAGGTCGCTCATCTGCTTTTCGCTGGCCCGCGGCCAGAACACGTCCGGGGGCACGAGGCTGGCTCCCTTGGCGTAGAAATGACGGCCGTTGATCTCGAAGTGCCAGTCGTTGCCGGGCTGCTTCCCGGCCGTGACCTCGTCCGCGCTCGTGGCCCCGGTGCTGAGGAGGATGGTGCGGAAGCCGAAGCGGCGCGACGAGACCATCAGCGGTAGGGAGCGGTTGGAGGTGCGCACCGCAAGCTGGATAGTGTGCATGTCCTGGTCGCCCATCCCGTTGGGCCACCAGAGCTTCGGCCTCGCGCCGTCAATCTCCACGCTGCCGCTGATGGAGCCTGCCGACACCTGCACGTCTGCCAGCTTCCCGCTGAAGAGCGTCTCGGGATTCTTAGAGGTGCTCTCGATGAGCGCCTCGATGTAGGAGCCGCGCGGGAGGCTGCCGAGGTAGTCGATGCTCGCTTTCAACACCCAGGGCTTGCTCTGATCCGGGGCGAGGTTGTTCGTCTGGCCCTGGCGGTAGACGTCGACGACGGTGTCGACGGCGTAGAGATACTTGTCGTCGCGGGTCTGGACGATCCGGCCGCTCTTCCACGGCCCTGCGGGGGTGAAGGCCGGACTCCAGTCCCAGCCAAAGTCGGACTGCTGCTTTCTGACGAAGTTTCTGTTGGGGACTTCGAAGGTCCATGCTGCGACGAGAGCTTCCGCCCACGCTACGAATGGGAAACGTTTAGATTGGGTCGACAAGTGGGATGGGAGTACACGTACGCTGTGGCTGGCTGGCGTTCTTTGCGTTGGCAATCTTTGGCGCGCTTCCAAAGTTGAGGCTCAACGTAGGTTCGCCCCTACAGCTTGCCAGGTCTGACGTGACGTCGAATGTCCATCGCCGGAACTGATTGTCTGTAGTTCCGACGATGTTGCCGCAGAACTTGACGGTTGCGAAGGTGTCGAGCCCGTCAAACACAAGCCAAGTCCTCAGACCGTCGTCATGCGTGCTGCAATGGTCTGTAAGTTAGCTTAGGGGCGGGCCAAAGTTGAGTGAAGCTTACAGGTTGGTGAGGGGACCACTCGTATATGTCCAATTTTGGTTTGCAACCCATCGCAGGTTGATGTCGTTGAACCCGCGGAGCCTAGATGAAGATTATATGTCAATCGCGATGATGAGATGAGATGCCGCCGCTCACGTCAAACATACGGATCCTCTGAAATTGTTAGCGTCTTGGAGTCTAGGATGGCGGCCATCTCTATTCTTACCGATGACGCCAGCAGAAAGTAGATCGAGATGCACATGCGATGGAAAGGCTCCCGGCACGGTGATGTTGCCATACTCGTTGGACAGCGTCCACTCTTGGCTGTCGAGAGGGCGGACACTTCCGTGACCTGCAAGTCCAGCGGCGAAGTTGAGACACAGAGCAAGGACGAGGAAGAGTGCTGATGACGAGATCGTCATTTTTGCCATGGTTGGGGGTTTATGCCGGCTCGAACTGGAAAAAGGAAGGGGACGGGGCTACATGTGTGTTTATCTTGGAGCGACTGGCCTGTTTGCTTTTTGGACAACCCTTTGCGTCATAACGCACTGTGCAATGTAACCCGGGGATTGATCGAGACATGTGCTTGTGCGTGTGCAATCTTTATGAAGCTAACCTTGATTAATCCGGCTGATTGCTGAAACAGATCTACCGCACGGGTGATTCGGGGATAATAAGAGAGCCAAGGCAGCTCGCATGGACCGCTAAAGTCGGCCGGATGCATTCATGAATCCTAGCCTTGACGCGTCAAATCGAGCTTGGCGTGTGTTGAAATGATAGATTTATATTAAAAACACGTTAAATCTGATGACGAATTCTCATTCAAGAATATCCCCTCTTCATTAGACCGCCTTCGTTGCAGGGGCCGCCGGGGCTCCCCCAAACCCAACGCCCAGGAGGAACAGCGCTCGGACGGCGGTGAGCAGCGCGTAGCTGCCCGCCAGCGCCCAGTCGTCCGCCGTCCACGCGCCCGGGCGCAGGCGGCCCTGCACCTCGAGCCCGTGGTAGATGCCGCTCAGGCCCGCAAAGTCCGAGAGGAGCAGCGCGAGCTGCAGCGCGCGCCAGACGCCGAGGTCGCGCGAGCGCCGGGGCACGAGGGCGGACAACACGGCGACGGCGAGCGCGAGGCCGCCGGCCTGGTGGAACAGGAAGACCTGGCGCGGGTCGTAGGTGGAGGCCGGCGCGGAGGCGCGCACGGCGGCGGAGGGGTCGGCGAGGTTCAGGTAGGCGCCCCAGAGCGCGATGAGGGGGTCGACGTTTTGGAAGAAGAAGCGGTAGAAGAAGGGGACGACGGCGGTGGACTCGGCAGCGGCCATGGGGGGATACGGGTTGTTGTTGTTGGTGGTGTTATTGCTGTTATGTAGGTTGATAGGTTGATAGGTTGATCCCAATCACGGGTCGGCGGGCGGCGGCCTGAATATATAACCCTTTTTTTTTTCTTTGAGAAGCAACATCAACAAACACCATCTCATCACCCATCCCGATCCCGAGCCGCTAATGGGTGACCGCTAAGCAATCATTGGCCTACTGCTTATTGTGATGACGGGCTTATTCGCTTGGGCTTGGCTGGACAAGGCTAAGAAGAGGGCCACTTGGTTGCGTCGTGCACGCGAGCCACGCCAGGTACTGCTGCAGCGTGTGAGAATCCCCAGTTTCTCATCGAGCTCACATCTGCTGCGGCTTGCAGGCTTGCCCGCCCGCCGCCGTGGCAGCTTGTCCGAAGGCCGAGCCCGGAAGCGGCCCCCGGAGCGGATGCGCCTCGCCACCTCGGACATTGCGCAAGGCCGAAAGCGCAGCAGTGCCTGTAGGCAGTATGCAAGTAGCATGTATTAACTAATTATGTTATCTTGCAAACACCTCAGCAACTGAGTTTATGTAGTCGATCCCCTCCTTACGCCAGGTATCCGCCTCCACGTAACTGCTCGCGTTGCCGCTGAACAGCAAATCCGTCGGCTCACCCTCCGCATGCGCCTCCCAGAGCGGTGCCCTCTCTGAACCCGTATTCGGATCCAAGTCGTGGACGAACGACGCCCACATGCTCGCCATCACCTCGCTGAGCTGCACGTACGTCTCCGGCATGCCGTCGAACGGCTTCTCATGGTGGTACCGCTGCCCCGTGACGTTGTTGAAGACAAACGCCTCCTCCTCAAAGTGCGAAGCGCCCCATGACCACCGGCACGTTGCCGGACCGCACGTCGAAGCGGTAGCAGTACGCCGGCGTCGCCGTCCGCGCCCCACGCCTCGCACTGCCGCCGGCGGTTCGCGTGCATCGCGAAGTCGCCGATGAGCGCCGACGTCCGGCGCCACTGGTATCCCTTGTAGGGCACGCGCCGGGCGCCCAGGAAGGCGGGGATGCCCTGTGACGGGTCGTCGGGGTACCAGCTGCAGGAACTTGTCGGCGACGGATGCGGGGGTGTGGAATCCAAACTTCCCAACTGCACACAAGTCACGTCAGTGATACAGCACCGATAACAGCGCGCAAATCTGATTGCAGGGGGCGTACCGATGAGAAAGTCACGGAACTGAGCGGTGGTGTTGATCCCGACGGGGATGAAGGTGGTCCCCTCGTCTTTGTTGGTGCCGGAGATGACGGGCACTTTGACGAACGCACCGCCGTCCAGCTGGGCGCTGCCCGCGTCCTGGAGCAGGTCGCCGTCCACCGCCGGCCAGAAGTTGTACAGCGACGTGCCGACCGTCCCGTTCAGGATGGCGTTGAGCCTCTCGAACGGGACCTGCCGCAGGCACTGCAGCGAGTCGGTGGCACTGGAGCAGATTCGCCTTCAGCGCTGAATCGTAAAGCCGTATAGTCAGTCAAGCAACTTTGCAAAGAACATGCATGCTTGTATACTCCCGACTTCGTAAGATGGCTTCCGGGAATGTGGCAATTGAAAGTCCTCGTATCCGAAGAGACGCAAATCGTGTCTATTAATGCAAGTCGGCAATTAATTTCACAACAAAACTGCAAGTCCATGGTGATGATCGGCTATAAAGGGCCCAAATTAGATCTCGCAGCCATTACTGCAAAAAGCTGGGATAGGGACGATCTTTGTCGGTGCGGAGAAGACTTGGCCAAGCGGCATTGTCCGGACTTGGGCACGAGTAAGGTTAGTGTATAACGGCCCGATTCAGAATCTGATGTTTATTTAAAAATGAATATCGAACAGTTTCGCCTTCCTTGTTGGTCGCAATGGCGCATTCGTGCTTCCTGACTCTGTAGTTGCGCGCTAGATCTCGAGGCTAAGTCGACTCGGCCGAATTCCCCGGCAATCATTTTCTGTGCCTACTTTAATTGCCGTGCTGAAATAGCATCGGCAATAAACGATGCAGCTGTTGCTCATGGTTTTTGTTTGAATGTTTGACCTCGTTGCAGCGGCTGTCAACCAACAGCGCCAGAGTTTCCAGGCACCCAAGTTACTAACTACTAACTGAAGCTATGTAGGAAGTCAACATCACCGTCCAACATCGTACATAATAGTAACAAGAACTTGAAATGACAACCCGTCTTTAAACCAATTCACTAATTGAACTTTTCTCTATTTTGAATAAAAGTATTCATGTGTATGCGTACTCAGAATCTCTGAAGTTGCAACGGCGCAGCATGTTCCTACACTGCCTCGCGCTCTACATAGGTAGTACCTAGTGGTGTCATCCCTCCCCGTCTTATTGAATGCAAGGACACTTCAGTTTAAAAGAAGAATCGGCAGTCCTGCAGCCGAGACTAGCGAGCCCAGCAGCCTAGGACTGGACAAGGCGCGCAAGGATTGCTCGTCCAGCACCAGCCCCCCAGCACGGGCAACTTCATCTCCAGCGTTGCTCGTCGTGACCAGGATAAAGATTGCAGCACTTACTGCGTAGACGAGATTTTCCGGCCGGCTATACTTTGTCAAGTTCCATTTCCCGAGCTCCGCCGCTGCCATCTTCCAGCCGAAGGAGGCAATGCGGCAAGCGAGCAGGCTGCTGCAGGTCGTCCCGAGGGCAGCCACGGCCGACTCCCCGAGATCCGCGGCTCCCTCCGCGCTCTCCAGCGCCAGGAGAGACAAGGATCCTAACACCTGTACCCAGGCAAACACGCTCGCGGGACTGAGCATCGTCTCGCCGGTGTCGCTCCGCAGCGGGTTGAGTACCAGACGCACGGCTCCGTTGGCGACGACAGCTGCGAGACCAAGCTCGCCCACGGCCGACACGCCGCGCCTCCCAAGTTCCATCAAACCAAAGAAGAAGAATCCCAGGTTCAGCACGGCGGCTAGGAGTTGGATGGCGGGGTACTTTCTCCCCCGCGTCGAGCCGCAGCACCCAGCAAAGTAGCAGCCGACGCGTCCGACTGCCTCTCCGAGGGGGAGACTCATCCCGACCGCGCTGAAGAGGAGCCTTTGATTCACGTTGAAGCCGACAAGTGGGTAGATATGCAACCACATGGCAGAGAAAAGGATCGCGCCTTGGATTGACAAGCCCTTGTAACCCGGGAACAGCCGAGACGACACAGGCGAGCATGGCGATGACGGCGCGGCCGTCTCCTCCTCCTCCTTCATCGACATGCCTCGGACAGACAGCGCCGTATTCATAGCCTTAGCTCCAACAAGCCCGCTGACCACACTTCCGAGGCCGACGGCGGCCAGGCTGCTCAGCTGCCCCGGCGCCAGCGACTCTCCGATTGTCAACTCGTAGAGCGCCGCCGCCGACACCTCAACCGCCGCGATCGCCATCCCCAAAAACACGCTATACACCGAGACGTTCCGCTCCTTCCTTCCCACCCTGACGACGAAGCTCGCCGGCCGCGCCGGCCAGAACGACACCCGCCCGAGCCCGGCGAGCAGCCCGTAAGCCATGTAGCCTGCAAACGCCGCGTAGAGCGCGACGGCGCACAGATACGCCAGGCCAATACGGCTGCGCAGCGCCGGCCGGAGCATCCGGCCCTGCAGCAGCAGGTACGCGGCCGGCAAACCCCGAAGAGCCAGCACGGAGAGGGCGTTGCAGCCGGTGACGCGGGCGAGCAGGCCCGGGCGGGAGCGGTCCAGGCCGGCCTCGCGGAGGAAGGCCCGCGTGCTGGAGAAGAGCTCGGTGACGAGGCCGGCGAGGATCAGGTTGATGGGCGCCACGTCCAGCTTGTTGGCGAGGACGACGCAGACACCCGCGAGGGACAGCAGATGGTGTACCAAGTAGAAGCGCGTACTGCCGAGCAGGGGTAACTCGGCCGTCCACAGCACGAGCCGCGTCCCGATGCATATGTGGGAGTCGGGCGTCAACGGACCGGCCGGGGAGCCCTCGGAGAGGAAAGCGCGGCCGCAGACGGGAGCGGTGGTCAGGGTTGCGAGGATGCCCATGATGAAGACAGGTAGTCGCAGTGCCCTGCGCACACCATTCTGTCTGAGCAAAGGCTGGTAAAAGTCTCGGAAGGCATGTTTCATGAGTCTATGAAGTGCGTAGATGCAAACATAGTACGAGAACATGCCCGCGGCAAGTGTCGCAGTATTCTGAGAGCTTAGAACCCCGAGAAGAGCCATTGTCGCAGTTTACTTTCTTCTACCACACTCGCATTCTACTCGCGCAAGAAGGGGACTACGTAGTTTTACACTGTTTCTCTTCTTGTTTGATTCAACGCCTCGGCTATTCTTGCGGGATGCGAAGGGCGCCCGTTGGGTTGCTTGCTGGAGGAGAAAGGCGCCCGCCGGAGCTCAGATCTCTACTGCAATACTATCAATTACAGATAGCGAGGGTCTAAACCGTTTCAGGATGGGGTCCGTATGAAAAATCTGTCGTAACAATACAGAAAGAAATGAGACCGGGGCTGACGGGAAGTCAGAACTGGTATCTGGGGTTGGGGGCGTTGTGTTGGTTGTACTTTGTACGCCATACAAAGACGGCACCACAGCCACTCGCTTTGCTGGAATAGATAAAGAACTTCTCAATACAGTTTCTTAGACCCGCAACACAGCCGGAGCCTGCACTGCCGTTCCATATGCGAGGAGTTGGCAAGGCCATACAGCCGCTGAACTGCAGCACTGTTGGGATCGGCATCCTCGTGGCGATTAATAGCTAACCAGGGGGGTGTTTAATATAGACAGGCTATTTTACGCCTCGGCTACCTATGTAGGGCCTATCATCGGGTTCTGCAACAGCAGACCGGAAACACTGCTCCCGGCACTTCCGCGCCGCGGCACTCGCCCGCTGCCCCTTGGCAGACAGCCTCTGGAAGCCAAATTCCCACTGAGCGCTGCGTAGCAGTCAATACTCAAACCCGGTTCGGATATATTGCTAGCGAATAGAGGCGCTGGTGCGCCCGCGGCTGCGGCATTGTCCTAACGCCCGCAACTTCGTCGCAGCGCCCGCAGAGGTTTGTCTTTCGGCACGCTTTCAGCTGCTCAGCGCACATACAGGAAAGTTTTATAGTTATCTTGTGTAAGTAGTACTGTGGAAAATGTTTTAGTTGTTACGATAAGAATGTGGTTTTTCTACTGGTTGTAGGTTGTTGGTTGTTGCTCAATGAATAATGCAAAGCTCTGCCCTTACCCTATACCTGCCGCGACCTATTATTGCAACAGGTCATGCACTCCTTCCTCTTACATCTACACTGGTACCCACCTTTGTAGAGAGA